GGGTGAGTTTGGCTGGGACCCTCGGGCCTGGGCGGCGCCGGGAGCCTAGCGGGCCTCACCTTCCCCTGGATGGACAGCGGCCGCCGCTTCGCCAAGGACCGGCTCACGGGTGAGGTCGTGCGGGCCCTCCAGCTTCTTTGCCCCATGCTTGCCTCGGGTTCACCTCTGATCCTTCTGCCCCAACCCCTTTCCTATGCTCCGCACTCAGCTCATCTCCCCGGATGGGATCTCTGGGTTGCCGGGCCGAGAGACGCTGGGGAGGGAGCGCCGTCGGGGCCAGCACCGCCACCGGCAGTCCCACGGGCCACGCCGCGTGCGCCCGAGGGCCGGGTGAAGTGGGCAGCTCGCTTTTCTTCCTTCCGTGCAGAGGGAGGCCCTTTTTGGTTTGGGGCCCTCCACTGCAGGGGTGCTGAGCGCGGAGCCGGAGCGACCGTGCTCTCTTCTCTGTCTCCCACCCCACCCCGCACCCCCTGTTCCTCGGTCCTCTCCGCAGCCGCGCTCTCTCCCTTCTCCGGGACGCGCCGCATCGGCCACCCCTACCAAAACCGGACGCCCCCGAAGCGGAAGAAGCCGCGCACGTCCTTCTCGCGCTCGCAGGTGCTGGAGCTGGAGCGGCGCTTCCTGCGCCAGAAGTACTTGGCTTCGGCGGAAAGGGCGGCGCTGGCCAAGGCCCTGCGCATGACTGACGCCCAGGTCAAGACCTGGTTCCAGAACAGGCGCACCAAGTGGCGGTGAGGCGCGCGCGGGCCGGGCCCAGGGCCGCGGGCGGGCTGGGGCTCCCCGCCGCACGGGCGGCCTCGCTGACCCCGGCTCTCCGCCCGCCCAGGCGCCAGACGGCCGAGGAGCGGGAGGCCGAGCGGCACCGCGCGGGCCGCCTGCTCCTGCACCTGCAGCAGGACGCGCTGCCGCGGCCCCTGCGGCCGCCGCTGCCCCCGGACCCGCTCTGTCTGCACAACTCGTCGCTCTTCGCGCTTCAGAACCTGCAGCCCTGGGCAGAGGACAACAAGGTGGCCTCCGTGTCTGGGCTCGCCTCGGTGGTGTGAGCGCCCCGAGCCGGACGCAGGCGCCTCCCGCTGCCTCGTGGCGGCGGAGCATCTGAGGAGCAGCGGGCCTGGAGGTTGTCCCTGAGGGCTCTTCGGCCACCTGCGGGCGCCCAGCCGACGTAGAGCCACCCTACCCGGCACCCTGGGCCTCGGCCTTTCCCGCCATTTCTCATTTAACCGCTAGCGCACGGGATGGAACTTGAGGCGCCAAGTAGGCGGGACCTGAAGGCTGGTAGCCAATGACGTGCCGGGAGGAGGGCGGGCTGGCCAATGGGAGGCTCGGGACTCTGCCGGGTGGGTGAGAAGGGCGCTCCGCTTTCTGCGCCTGAGCCGGACCGAGGCGCTGAACTCCGCGCCTCCGCTGCGCGGTTAGGAAACTGTGAAGGAAGGAGGACTCTGAGGACAGCGGAGGCATGAAGGAGACCCCACGCCGGAAAGCCTGAGACTGTCAGGAACCTGCAGGTTGTCTGGCCTTCCTCAACTGTAAAGTAATTGCTAAGGATTCCTTCCAGCAACAGAACTGATTCTGAGCCCCGTGTTTTCGAGTGTGTGCAGCCTGTTATGCACCAAACGGAAATCTCAAATCTCAGAAAACGCATCTGGCTCTGGCGCCCGCCAGGAGGGGAGGGGAGGGGAGGGAAGGACGAGGTGGGCCCCTTTAATGGGCCCAGTGGGATTAGGGTAACCAGGATTTGAATAGTGTGGAAGTGACAAGCCTTAGAGGTGCGTCCAAAGTAACTCCAGGGTGGGGAATGTAGAGAACCGGGAGGCAGTGATGCTGCTGGGTGGAGGGCGACAAGGGGACTGTAGGAAGATTGGAGCAAGAGGAACTCTGGGTAAAACTAGGTCCATCCTAGGCCTAGAGAGAATATATTCTGGGAAAGTGCCTATGATGCCAGGCTACCAACCCACGCATGCCGCTTCCACTCCAGCATCTGCACGTCCAGGGATCCCAGATGATCTATAAGAATCCATAAGGTGCTCGCCTAGGGGAGCTCTAAGATTCATCCCAGGACCCTGTTAAACCGATTGTGACTCCGTATGACTGGGTCGAAATGGAAATGCACATTCTCCGACAGAGGTGAAGCCAGACAGGTTCAAAGCCGGGCTTTGGCAGAGGTGAGGGTAAGTGTGAGGGTGGAGCTAGATGGAATAAGAACCATCTCCAGTGAGGCGGGAGCTCTGCGAGGACTCCCACCAAATCCTACAAATACACTGGCCTCTACTGGAGCGACCATGTTCACAGTTACAGAGCGAAAAGGGGCAAGTCACGGCCCGCTTCCAACTATAGAGACGTGCAGTCTCTGAAGTTGAGGGAAACTTCCTCGGGTGGGTGGGTCAGGGGCTGCTGGAAGGCTCCTGTTGGCAAGTTGACCTTGAGAAGCTAGGGCAATAGGCCTACAGGTTTAAAAAGCAGGACTGAAGTTGTATGAAGACGCAAGGGAACGTTTGGAATGCTTCCGTGGGTTTCTAGCGTGCCCTCATTTCTTTCTCCCCTGGACGCTGGAGCAGTGTGACAGAGGGAAGCGGGCTATCGACAGGGCCAAAGGCCAATTGCTGCCAAACTGTGTATCCTCTGTGGTAATGACAACGTGCAAAGGGTTGGCCAACAGTGGGGACCAGGCCGGTGGCAATGGCTAGAGGAGTTGGTCTTTGATTGTGCCATTTGTACCACATGGATGTTGGATATGGTGCCACAGAACCAGATGCAGATTTGGTGCTGTAGAAATGTCTTTTATACAGCAGCACGGAGCACAGGGTGAGTTTGGCTTAGGCCGGGGGAGGAAATAGCTAAGGAAAGGTACCTTATCCCATTCCTTCCACTTCCAGCCCACTCTTTCTTGGATTTGGGCTCCAGGATGTACACTTGCCCCTAAAGTTGGGACTTGTCAATCTGACTGCATCGGTGCTAGCCCAAGGGAGGATCTTGGGAGACGAGATCAGTGTGTCAGTCCCTAGGCAGGTCACTGCAGGACACAGGGGTCTCCGAGTTCCTGCGTGGAGGAGGACTCACTCCCTGCTGAAGAACCGGCCATTTCTTCCCTCAGTTGATACAGGAGGTCTCTGCTTTCACTAGGGGGTAGGTTCCTTAGGAAATATGGGGGTGCCAACTCCACCAGCCTGACAGAGAAGAGCAGAGAAGAATCTTTTTAAACAATCTTCCTATCCTGTGACATAGGCTCCTCAACTTCTCCCCTCCCCTCCCACAAGCCCTTCCCCTCTCTTTATCACGAGCCACAAAGATTCCCTCCTCTTGGCTCTCCAGCCATCACCTGGTCCCACAGCTCGAGAAACGTAGTGGCATAGGAAGTTGTCAGGGAACTTACAGCTGTGGGTGAATCTCAGAAACGATGGAAAGGCAGTTGTCTTTGGAAATGGAGAAACTGTGGTAAAGCACCCACAGTGGGGGTCTGGCTGGGGGCCTGCGGCCTCTGTAGCAGCAGTGTGGGGAGAGCTGCGCTACGTGCTTGTGGGTCAGGAGCAGGTAGTTTCCAGTTCCGTCTGTGTCTCGAGCCACCTCATTGGAAGGAAAAGAGTGAGAGGGTGAGTGAGGGAGAGGCAGACAGAGAAGAATAAAGACAGCTGAGCAGGAGGAAGGGCGGGGAGCGAGTCAGAAGTCCAGTGCTGGGGCGTCCCTACTGTATACCAAATGGCATTGCCATAGTCCTTTGTATCCCAACACCTCAAAGGAAAAGGCTTTCCTGGTTCCAAAGAACCCTTCAAACCACTCTTGGACCTCAATCTCAGAGATCTGTGACATGCCAGTATTCGCTTCCTGTGCCACGGCCCCCTTTCTCCCTCCCCACTAACCTGGAGGAAGTATCCCGACACCAGGGCTTTCTGAAGGTCTCTCCGGTTCTGCTCGGAGCCAAAGGCCGGCTGGGACAAGGGAAGTTCGATGTGGTGCATGAGTTCTCGGAGCTCTGCCCGAAGTTTTCGGGCTTGGCACAGCGCTGCCCAGCTTAGACCCCGAGCCTGGCACCAGGCCTCGTCTTCCCCATCTAGGAGAGGAAAGGGACCAGCTACAAATTAGGCTGAGACCCCGAAGAACCCGGCCTCTGGCTGCAGGCGCTCCTCCTCCTGTCTGCTGGTTGCACCCACTTCCCCTGGGTGAGGGAGACAGGATTCCACACGAGGGGGCACAGCAGGCCACTCACTCAGCGTGAAGGCTTCATACACCTGGATCAGAGAGCTGTGGTCACCATCTGTGTGCTCCAGGGCCCGACGTAGGGCCGCTTCTTCTGCACAGAGCGGAGGATGGGTAAACCCAGGGGCAGCTGGAAGCAGAAAAGAGCAGTGGTCATTTGTGGGGGCTCAGAAAGGGCAGCAGTGCCGTGTTTGGAGGAGGTGAAGCTCTGAAAAGGCAGAAGTCTCCCTCAGAGCTTTATCCAAAACATTGATAACTACTAGGAGCTGTGCACTTTACTAGACATTGGAGCTCAATCAATCAAGACCACCTCTGCCCTGAGAGCCAGCTTTGAAGTCTGGTGGAAGAGGGCAAGCACTAAGCAAACTTGATCAGCAGGATAGGTGTGTGTATGTGACCCTACAGGACAGGGCAGAGCTGCCTTTGTTTTGTTTCTGAGACTGTACTCTGTAGGGGAGTAGAAAGCCCCATCTTCCTCCCATGGAGCAGCTGGTGGTTTTGAACTGCTGACCTCAGGGTTAGCCCAATGCGTAACCACCATGTCATGTGGGCGCCCTTTGTTTGGACTATTCTGGTAGAGATCAGGAGTCAGATACATAAATGTATGACTCAGAAGGATAGTATTGCCAGAAAGGGATGTGTTTTAGTCGTAAGAGATGGGAGGGAGGGAGCATGTTGTGGGCAAGAACCAGCAGAGAAAAAAGACTAAAGGATGGGAGCAGATGAGACAGTTCGCCTTTCACCGGGCACAGCACTAGCCGGAGGAACTGTAAAATACCAACGGACAGTGGCAGCCAGGGCCAGAGGGAGGGCGTTTATACCAGTGAGCATGGCTGCAAGGGTGAGCATCTCATCCACACAGTCAAACTCGCAGGAGGCCAGGAGGGCTTTGGCCAGCTCTGGGGGCAGGGGGAACTCAGACAGGATGACTCCCAGGTCTGACAAGTCCCCGTCATCGTCCAGGGCAGCCAGATAGTCTAAGTCTTCCAGCGCCTGCATCAGCGCTTCGGGAGCTGGTGGGGAGACAGGGCTACTAGGGCCTGAGGCCTCAGGCAGGGTCCCCAGACTGCAGGACTTGGGTAGGAGGGATGCTCACCTGGCCGGTCCAGGAAGTGACACTCTCCTGGCTCTGCAATCTGTCGCCTTTTCAGTAGTAATAGCAGGGGGCTCAGCTTCTCCTCCCACACCCTAGGCTGGGGCAGTGGGGGCACCTCCTCTTGCTCTAGGAAGGACTTTGGATACAGGCGGATGCAGGATCCTGGGGGGACAAAGTCCTGGGGAAAGACTGCTGTAGACACCCCAGGGTTTGCGTGTTGGTGACTCTTCTCAGGCTGGCTCTCAGGGTACGGGAGCTTACCTGGTGGGGACCCTCTTGCCCGAAGCCGTCTGGCGTCTGCCTGACACTTGCTGATGGGTCTCAACACTTGGGACTCTGCTCGGATCTGAGGTTTGTAAACCTGTCACCCCCCCCAACCCCAACCAAGGTCAAGAGAGGCCATGGTGGGTCATTTCTGCCCTTATCTCCACACCCCTACATCTTGCTCACTCACACTTCGGAGCTCCCATCCCGAGTCAATGACGTGTCGGATGGAAGGCAGGGAGAAGGAGAAGTCAGCTAGCCAGTGAGTGACCACGACCTTTCGGACACTCAGGTCTGCATCCTCGTACACAGCCTGAGTGGCCTGACCGCAGCCGGGATGAAGGGGCAGCAACCGCAGGGGAGCCCCGGGGAGGTCCAAGGACCTCACTCCCCTGGACAAGGATTCACAGCACAGGGAGATTTCCTGGGGAAAGGGTGGGGCATTAAGACAGTTCTCACCTCTTGGGGTCACAAGCCCTTAAAAAAATGGCTGATAGTTTCACCCTGAAAAATATACATAAGCATAAAACTGGGAATGTTTTCATTTCAGGGGCTCACTGAACCACAGGTCTCTTCATGCCAGGGAATGAAAAGGAATGTGGTAGGACTGTGTACCCTGAGGTCTTTGAGATTTCCCTCAGGACCCCAACAACGTAAATACACCAGCCCCCCTCCCCCCAGGACGGGAAGGCAGCATACATGAGTAGCCCCTTATGTGACCCCTCCCCCCTTTTACCTCCTCACTGGGCAGGTACACTAGCACGTCACCTGGAGCCTCTTCTTGGCATAGCTCAAGCACAGCCTGGCAGGTGGCTTCCACCCGGTCAGCAGGGACAGTGTCCCTGTAGATGACGGTGGGACTCCCACAAGCCTCTCTGGGGACACGCACAATAGGGGGATTTCCCCAGAAGGCTCGGAGCTTGGGTTCAAGGGCGGGGTCAGTAATGACAACGACTCTGGGGTCCCCTGGGAGGTTCCCCAGCTTGGCATCTCGAAGCAGCCCCTGGAGTGCATCTGAGGCCACTGAACGCTCCTGGGCCTCATCCAACACCAGCACACCCCAAGTTCCAGTGCCCCGGGCTGAGGCCATCTCTTGCAGGAGCAACCTGTCCCAGCAGAACCTGGTGACATTGGTAACAAGCAGGAGTCAGAGGGGACACTGCCTGGCTCCAGAAGTCCAAAGGGGCTGCTGCTTCAGGGGACTTGGATTGGACACGGAAGGCCGGAAAAACTGGTTGACATCTTGAGCCTCTGGCCCTGTACTGTCCCACTCGGGGAACCCTTGTTCAAGACCCCTGAACCCTTGTTCAAGACCCCTGTAGCCCGAGTCTCTAGCTGGGCAAGCCAGCTTTTGTGCAGGTCTGAGGACGCTTGGGGGGAGTAAAAGGGCTCAACTCAGCAGTTATGCTCCCCCTGATTGGCAGTGAACCGGACAGAGAGGGGCTATGGTGAGCTGGCAGGGCGTGTTCAGAGGGGAGTTTGATTCGGTTGGGGTCAGGCCTGGAGGAGGCCCCACCTGAGCAGGGTGTCGGGCCCAGTGCAGTCCTCCTGGGGGGTGCTGTAGCCAATCTCCTGACCCAGGGTCAGATCCATCTCATCGGCAACTCGCTGAGCCAGGCTCAGTGCAGCCAGAGGGTAGGGCTGAGTGACAGCTACCTGGCCCTGCTGGAAGCCCCTGGCCAGCGCAAACTCTGCACACCATTGAGGGATCTGGGGTAAGGAAGGGCAGCCAGTTAGGGAGATGAAGGACTTCCGTGTTGGGGGAACTATTATGGTCAACTTGATCCCCTATATAAGGAGCCTCGTGGACCTTCACCAACCACCCTGGAGCCGAGCCAACCCATCTCCCTTTGCCTCCCCCTTCCCCATGGCCTCCCAGCCCACTACCCTTGCCCCAGGAAGGGCCAGGATCCCAGCCCTCCCTCCATCCACTCAGCATCCCCCCACCTGGGTGCTCTTGCCAGAGCCAGGCTCCCCAGACACCAGCACCACTCCGCAGGGGCTGCTCTCCAACTGCTCCAAGAAGGTGAAGCGAGCAGCCCAGATGGGCAAGGCTCGGCGCTGCTCAAGCAGCTTGTAGTAGCCGGAAGAGAAGGGGAGCCCATCAAAGGGGTTCACAGCCAGTTCGGACTCCCCAGGGCTTTGGCTGGACTCTTCTGCCAGCCCAAGGGGCTGTGAGGCCATGGTAACGTTTGGGAGGACCTACAGAAGGCAGGACGGCCAGTCAGGCCTCCCACTTGGTAGCTGCCCGCATCTTCCCACTGCAGCCCAGATCCCTCACCTGCCCGCTCAGGTGAGTATGCCCTGGAGCCCGTACTCCTCAACACTGCTTGCCCGCAGGGTAGAACCCCTAAGAACAAAGCTCCTCGCTAGGTCTCCAGTTCAGACGTATGGCAACCCTATACAAGAGTACCACCCCACCCAGGGTCTCCAAGTCTGTCATGTTCACTGAAGCCGACGGCCACGCTTTCCTCACAAGTAGCTGATAGGTTTGAACGGCTGACCTGAGTTAGCAGTCTGACACTTCACCAGGGAGTAACCAAGCTCCCTGCCACTGAATCGATCCCGGTGCGTGGCAACCCACAGGACAGAAGAGAACTAAGTGCTCCTTGGGGTTTCTGGCCTCACTTTTCTCTCACAGAGCTGCTAGGCTGGAACCACCAACCTTGTGCTTAGCAGCCCAGTGCTTAACCCACACGACCAGGGCTCCTTTTCTTCAAATGCAGGACCAGCTGAAGTGAACTACGTACCACCCCAGCATTAAAACCCTGCGACTAATACAGGGGACCCCCAGGGGCAGCACCACCAAAAGAATCCTGTATTCAAACCTGCTTGTCGCTGAGACGTGTCAAGGTGGCAGCCAGTTCCAGAAGCCACCCCTGGGGGACTGCCACCACCTCCAACGGCATAAAGTACAAAGGTAAATTCCGGCTCCACCCTGGTGTTGGGGAGGTGCCATCTGCTCCACCTTATCTTACTCAGGCAGGAGCCTATGGAAACCAGGCTCTAACCACCACACTGAGCATGTGTGAATCCCAAACAGGACGTGTACAATGAGTGAAGTGCATCTTGGGACTTGTAGTTCTGCAGGTGTCTGTGCACAAGCCTGGGGTAAACACAAGCAGCTGGGCTCCGGTTGCTGCTGTTTTCAGTCTAGTCAGCTCCTTAGCATAGCGTATCTCTGGGCCACAAGGTGACTCGACCTTCCATTCTGACCACCCCCTAGAAACTCACCAGGGTGCTTTCACCCTCCACCCCCACCCTCCCAGACGAGGAAAAGGAGGTGTTGAGGGGGCTCTTGAGACCCAAAGACACAACAGAGACCTTGAATGAAAACCCTGAATTTAATGTGACCTCGGGGGAGCCCCATCCCTCCCTCTACACCAGCCACCCATCCAGCCTGTTGTGAGGTGGGTGAGGGCTGCCCCAGCCTCCGTCCTGCGGCTCTGGGTGCCATCCTGTTGCTCTGAGCTCAGTCCGCCTCCTGGGCCTGCCTGTCTGTGAATCTCCTGTGGGACACGGAGGAAGACACTGTGCGGGCTGTTCCAGCTGCGCGCTGGAGTCCCTCCTGCAGCTCGCCCCTTCCGATGCGGTGTCCTCTAGCCTCCTCACCTTCTGGCATAGTCATAAAGTGCCTGCTTGCGCTCCTGCAGGCTCTCCTGCCGGGCCCAGGAGGATTTGGCAAATGTTAGGGCTGTGGGCTGAGGGGTCACCGGGCCAGAGCTGGGGAACTGAGGTGATCACAATGTCAGAAGGCGTGCGCGGTCATCATCATTAAACACGCATCGAGCGCCTACTTTGCAAGAGAGGCACCGTGCTAGCATCTCAGGATCGAAAAAGAGAGGTCAGGGCGAGGGAGCATGCGCGCTCCCTCTTCCCTCCCCCAGGTGTGGAGTTGACCCTCATGTCTGGGGTCTCACCTTGGGGGCAGAGGCAGTAGGAAGGGCCTGGGTTCCCTCAGGGATGTCTTCAGGCATGAAGGCTACCGCCCCCTCCAGCAGATTCGTGATGGTCAAGTCTACACAGCCAGTCCTGGCTGGGAAGAAGAGAAGACACAGAGGAAGATCTGCTCCTGTTCTCCCCTCAACCCACTCGTCTCTGGTGGGAGGCCACCCTTCCCCATACCCAGGTCTCTTTGGATGACGCCCAGTGGAACGTGGGGCAAAACCTCCTTGACTTGCTGCGCCAGAGTTGCCTGGTGAACATCGGCAGAAGGGCCCGGAGAGGGAGAGTAAGAAGACTGGGCTGCGGAGAGGAAATCGGAAACACAGTGAGTGAGCACAGCACTGGCACAGCACAGGGAGGCATACAGCAGAAGCACAGCCATGTGAACCGACCACACACCTGACCGGGGACGGATTCTGGGGTGTCTCTGTCGCTTCATGTGCTCGGCTTTGTCTGCTGGTGTGAGTCGTGTCCCTGTCTGGCCCAATTCCTTGGCCACCAGCTAGGGCGAATCGGAAGGGCAAAGGCATCAAGATCCCAGGCCTCCAGCCTTCTCCCATCTTCTTCTTCTTCAGAGAAATGCTAACCGCCACCCTGCGGGTGCACCCCATCACCTGTTGTACCCGGAGGGCAAACTCCTCATTCCCCTCCTGCCGCTGACGGTGAACAGGGCGGAGCCACCTGCAAAAACAACCCAGGGCCATGTTGGGGACAGAGGGTAGAAGCTGTCACCCCGCCACCCCCCCACCCCCCCACTCTTGCTACCTCTTCATGGAATGTGGTAGTGCGGGTGGGGAGACAAGATAGACTGTGGTGCCAACTTTGCTATGAGATCTGCTGGTGGAGGCAGATCCTGACCTTGAGCTGAGCTCAGCACCAAGAAAGTGATAGCGAGTACCTTACTTGATAGACCGTGAACGGAACGAAGAGTGACCACAGCAGTTCTGAGACCCAAGAGGCATCGGACACTGTCTGCGGGGAGGGCATGAAGTGAGGTCTGAGCCAAGGCCAGGGGTGGGGAACTTGCCTGCACCCCAAGCCCTAGATCCCTGGTCTAGGATGAACTCACCACGGAGACCAGGGGTCGTTGAACTCGCAGAGTAAGAGGCTGGACCACGTCCTGGATAGAAAAAGGCCAGGAACTAAAAGAAAAAGGAGAGGGTGGGGTGGGCGTCCACTCAGCAGCTCTTACTGGACAGTACAAGAAACTGTCAAATCGTATACCTACATACATGTGGTATAGGAGTCTTGGGGAAGGTTGTGGAGGGGGGGGCAAGAGTTGAAATCTCAAGGGTCCCCAAGCTTGACCATCACCCCAGTGGGAGTCCAATACCTTTGCTGACCCACCTGAAGTGCAGGAGGCCCTCCCGGCCGTTGGTCGCGGCCTCCTCCGGGAAGAGCAGTAGTGGGGTCGGGGGAAGTCTCGTGGACGAACAGAATCTCTTGAGGGACTCCACCAACTGCCCGCGCCCATCCATCTCCATGAAGCCCCGCGACCAGCACACAAAGCTGGGCGGACTATTGAGCAGGGGCTGGGAAGAGGCAGGAGAGGATAGCGGTGGGAAATGAGGGCGGCAGGCACGAAAGGCAGGGAGGTGGGGTTGGGGTAAGGGTCAGTATTTCGCAGTCCTCAGGGGAAGCCCACGTGGGCAGGGGAGGGGCAGAGGGCAGTCTTGCGCTCGGCTCGGGGAACCGCCCCCTCGGAGGGCAGTTTGCCTTCGCCCCCACTCACGGTGCTACAGCTGGTGAGCAGGTTGACTATGTTGTGATCGAAAGGTGTCACGTGGTTGGAAATGAGGACTCGGACGCGGTGATCCCGGAGCCCCGAATCCTCCTGCCGCGCCACGAGCCCCAGCACCGCACACATGGTCCGCACCACGAACCTGGAGACGCAGGCGGGGGTGACTGGGGGCCGGGGCGGCCCCCGACCCTCCCCGAGCGCCCGAGTCCGAACCTGCGGAGGACGCTGTCTGGCAGCGCGCAGCTGACCAGGAAGACGTGGACCCCGAGAAAGAGGCGCAGGACCAGGAGGCAGAACCCGACGGGCGCGTAGAGCAGCAGCGCGAGGAGTAGGAAGCCGTCACCCGGGAGCCTGTGGGCGAGAGGCAGGGTGGTCGGGGGCGCGGGAGCCGAGAGGGCGCGGGAGCCGGCCTCTTTCCTCCGGAGCGCTTACCGGTGCGCGTCAAAGAGCCGCTCCGGCCCCGGCGCCGGGGGAGGAGGTTCCATAGCAGCTGC